CTATTCATTTAAATTCCAATCACAAAATTTCGTCTCTAAATTTTTTTGTTTCATTTTTACAGTCTGAAACATACATTCCTTACACATGCAAAACTGCTCTTGATGACATTTGGGCATATTAAAGTATCCTACGTATAGGTTAGTGTTTAATAATATGCATTAACAAAAATAATTGGTCAAGCCTGCCGCAGGCAGGCGACCAATTATTTTTGTTAATGCATATTATTAAACATTAACCTATTTAATGATCAACATTATTTTTTTCAACCAACAACAAGGCATTTCTCTAAATCACCTATAGCTCCGCCCTTTCGCTCTACAACATGTCTACACCTTGTCAAGTTGCTAACATCTCACATTTAGATAAGCTAAATAAATGGCCCAGGCACATTTTTTATTGAAATGTCACAGAATTTATACCTTTATCTATTGTAAGACTATCAAGTTTATAATATATCTGGAAAAAACAGCGAGGAAAACGATGCAATTAGGTAAAAACAATGGAGTTAATAAAATGTGTATATCCTTTCAAAATAAATGGAAAATGTGAGAAAATACATTAAAGATTATTAATTGATACAAATTCGTTATAAAGATTCAAGTTATTCACTAACATTTAAAATCCCTATTGATTTGCTCATTTGAAAAACAGTTTTTTCTGTTTTTACAGGTGGAGGGGGTCCATTTACAATGAGTTTTCCAGCCAAAAAATGTAATCATTGTATTCTTAATATCAATGATTGTTAAAGCAGTTCATTCCTATCAAGTGAGAAAAAAAAATGTTTTGGAAAATATAAAGTTTAAAACACTCAGCAATTTATAACAGACATTTTTCTTAGAGTTAAAAGGATATAAAAAAGTTACTATGTACTAGTAATCATTTGTCTCTGCGTGCCCAACATGTACTATCTATGTAATAAATCAATTGATTGTATCCTCACATTTAGAAACACCTGACCTCGCCTAATTTTTTTATGTTGGCATTGTTTTGCTAACCTTGACATTTTACAAATCAGAGTGTAAACCATACCTCTAACTCCTCCCTAGTATAATGCATTATTGAAATTTGTTAGACTGCGGTTAGACGACAGATTAAGTGAATCTTATTAAGTTAGTACACATTAACCAAAGTTAGACTAAGCAGAAATTTGAAAAATACTACAATGTGATTGGACAAAAAATAATGTTGATCATTAAGAGAAATAACTGCTTTATGAAAACTTGAAAAGCAAAAAAGCAAGGTCGGCTTTACACTATAACTGTGCACGTGACTCAAATTACATTGATGTCGGTAACACCAAGAAAATTTCAAAAGAATCTTCACGATAAAGGTCAATTCAAGTTCAAAAGACAAGAATAAAGATCAACAAGGCAAAGGCAACGTTCACAGGACGCAGCCCCCGACACACCAAAGCAGGGCACCCAGAATATGCACCACTATGCATGTTTGGTAACAATTCTTGTTTTATCCAAGTATAATTTAAATCCTCACATAAATAACAAAATTATCATGGCAAATTAACACCCATTCAATAATTTGACATTGACGGTCAAAGTCATTTAATCTCAAAGTCAAGGTCTGTCTAACATTTTACAAGATCGTGTCCAAAAGGTTGTATTGTCCAGGTAGAAAATATTCCATTCATTTCAGCGAAAATTCAATAATTTAACAATCAAGGTAACGGCCATAAATGAGACAAGGTCAATTTAAAAAGTGATTTTTTACATGAAGGTCTTATCCTAAAAAAATGTATCTTTATATGTAGTCAATCTATTCATTAAATAACAAAATTTAAGCCATATACAGCAGTAAAAGTCAAACTGTCAATAATGACCTACAAGGTCAATGCCATTTATGAGTGAAGGCCTTCTAATAGACTTAAATGCCTGAACTAGAAAATGTTGTGTTCAAGTTTGAAGACAATCCATTAAGAAAATAAATAAATGGCAAAATTTAGTCATTTGACTATGATGGGGTTAAGACAATTTATAACTGAAGGTCAAGTTTTAGTCTGTTCTGCTTGTAGGCAAAAGGTTGTTGTGGTAGAGTAAGTAGACAATACACTAAGCACTTAAAAAGTTATGATTAACTTCAAACTTTTGGGTACGGCAACAGGAACGCCGACATGACTGTAAGACTCTATGATATATCGACCCTTGACACGACAGTTCACCACTTAGACATCTCGATCCACGGTACACAGACTCCTTAAATAGACTGAACTGTTCGACCCCTTAGAGGATATATATTGATTTTAAGATATTAAATAATTTCAAGATTATATTTTTCATGATTAGGTCTGTTGACGACGATTTTACTTTCGAAGCTTTTTGACGTATGGCTATATTCAAATTATGAGCGAAACAAATTGCATATATGAAATACGAGATAATAACGAGATATATCTTCAATTCAACATATCATTGATTTTGCTTAATATAATTATATTTATATATTGCATTAAAGCCTAAAAACATAAGTGCGTGTCACATGAAAAAATACACTAAATCTTAACAAAAATACAAAAACTGTAAATATGAATACACAAGCGATGCACAAAACGCTCATGTTATCAACATTCATTCATTTTTTGTCGGGGCCTAGTTTAATATATATTAATATATTAATGTATATCATTCCTGCTATATCATGGGACTGTACAAAAATAAAAAAGATAATGTCAGTTTATTGCCTTATTGCTTTTCCTTTTCTGAATTTTGTCTGATCTTGAAATAATTCAAGTATTAGCTTTTTGCCTTAACTTATTTCTCCAAATATATTACTGTCCTCCTTACGTACAAAAATGGATTAAGGGTCTAACCCACCAGGGGTCGAAAAGTCGTGTAAAAAGGGGTGAAAAAATCCATGGGTCTTGAAGTCATATTAATATCCTGAGGTGTCGAGAAGCCAAGGGGTCTATGTGTCTTCCTTGCGACTGTAGCAATATCTCTATTTTTTTATTTCGAACAAAATGCAAGCTACAAACAAATGCTCATAATATCTTACCAATACAGGTACTTGTTTCCCACAAACCCGTGTCTAAACATTCGATCGTCGGTTTTGAAGTGTTATATCCGTCTTCACAAACCACATTTGCACGAGCTCCATTAGATGAGTCGTTCTCACCGATTAATGAGGCATTGCCATTATCAATATCAATAACTGAAGCACAATCTAAATAAAACAATTAAGTTTATACTTGTACATATTCTTTATGTATCAAATGTGCAAATACGACACAAGATAAACACCAAATTGTGATCCAAAATGACATTGTTGGCAAAATGCCAATTACTTTATATTTAAATGTACAAGGAATATAATAAAAAATAGAGTAATAGGAGTAATTAAATCTGGCCGATGGATTTACGAAAATATAATCTCACAATGCGCGAAAGAGCAAAGTCTGATCCGTTATTATAGTAAAATGCATTGGCATCAAATATAAGTTATAAATCAAGTTACTTCTATAATATCACTGTTACTTCAATGAATTCTTAGTAAATTAGGAGTGCAATATAGGTATCACATCATTTGTATATGATGCTATATCCTAATTGTGCTTCTTGCATCTCCTGAGCATTACAAATATCACACATTTAACCAAATACATGTACAATAATTGCGAATTGAATCCTATTTAAGCCATTCAACATTTTTATTTCTATAAAACAGTCTTGTCGTTGTATCGTATTGTTGGCTTAATTAAATGAAAAAGTGATTTTAATAGTAAACATGCTATTTTTATTGATCTACACTTCTGACTTCGATCTCACACTACAAGTTATCTTCCTTATTGATATATGCTTCTCCTAAAATCGACCAGGTATTTATAGGTTACAAAATAGCAAAACATACCAACACATCGAATCTCCGGTACAGAAGAGCAGCTGAGACTGAATTGAGTATTTACTGCTGAAGCTAGAATAAAAAAGATAAAACTCATCACACAAATCATATAAAAGTTTATCAATTATATTCTATTTGTATATGCAGAAAAGGAGAAAATGAAAACAAAAAAACCTTGATAAAATGAAATGATATTTATATTTACCAGCAAATCCAAGAAGAAATAATCCTTCCTGGTTATCAACTGAATTGTCTAAAAAGTTGATAGTGATATAATGTTTGTTTAAAGTGTGAGTGGTTATATCAGATCCATAGAAACTGTCACAGTTGATCTCATGTAATGTCACGTTTAAACTGTCACTTATTTCTAGTCTTTGCTCACAGGTTGATGTATCCAGATACAAATCAGCATCGATGATATATAAGTATACACTAGATGAACAATCATGTATTTCTAGAGAGCAAGAACATGTTGATTCGCCTGTTGTCACACCTGGATAACCTTTATTTGTTAAATAAAGTGGTGAACTCGATGACTGTATTGTGTCACTTGAACATACGGATAACTTCCTTTCAGCTGTAATCATAAAACATAATACTTTATGAATAACTAAGAGGGGGTTTTGTGTCACAAAAAGATATGTCTCCCACAACTAGGTATGGTACTCATCACTTTTGTGAAGTTTTGTCGATATCCCACAGCGGTTTGGCCTGTGAAAGCCAGCAAAGTTTCTTTCTATTTATTATAGCTTTGATGGCTATTTTGTGCTGCCGATATAAACGATTATCTGAGCACTCCTCTGAAGTTTTCATTGATATCCCACAATCAGTTTTACATTTGCAAGTCGGACAAGCTTGATGCGGACGGACGGAGAGACGGACAGACGACGAAGGCAAAAAAAAAATCTAAAAGTTTTAGGAGCCATAAGTAAAGTAATGTAAAAAGTGGTCAAAAAGTCGATGCGTCAAATTCTTTAGCAAACACAAAATTTCAAAACAATTTTTTATATCAAATATATGTGTGTATTTATTGAAATTTATTTTCACGTCTATAAATTAATTTGAGTATTTTACTTTGTTAAAATCAAGTTTCAATACATAAGAATATTGTTAAGATGAAGTTATAAAAACTTAGTTGAAAGTTGCTTACAAGGAATACAATAATAATAAATTGTAACATAGGAAGGTTCGTGCGTTCCTAGGGAACAAAAGGCCCGGACCCCTCCGAGGGCAATAGTGCAGGACGATTTTCCAGAACATTGACGCCGAACATCACTTCTATCCGGCGTCGTCGCACTTTCCAAACAATGGTCCGTATTCAAGTCGCAACAAATGGAATCACAAGTCGCATCATATCCATACATGATAGAATCAACAGCTATCACTGAGCTTCCACAGTCTATGTTAACATTGCCGGTATCGCAGTGTGTTTCATTTCTTCTTTGTTCTACTGATGACAGTTGTGCTGGAACAAGTCATTATATTAATGCTATAGTCATCACATTATTATCATGATTATTAATATTATTATTATCATAATTATCATTATAATTCTAATTATTCTAATTATTATTAATATTATTATTATTATTTATTTATTTATTTATTTATTTATATATTTTTTATTTATTAATGTATTTATTTATTTATTTGTTTACTTATTTATTTATCATGTTCTTTTATCAATTTATTTTTTAATTATTTATTAATAGTTTTATTTAATAGTAGATACAGTTCGCACTAAATATGTTGTATAAATACATTTAAATCAAATTCATTCATTTGTTAAAGATATAGTACACAAAATGTTATTGATATTTATTTACTGATAGTTCAAACTAATCTGTCTTAGTACATAGTTCAAACAAAACTCTGTAATTACATGATAGCTCTAAACATATTTTGTGGCACGATATTATCTAAAAAATTATCTGAAATAGATACGTGTATGTATCAATGCTTTCCAAAATATCATATTTGTACACGTCAAAGAGTGTGACAATTTACTAAAGTGTTACGAGATACAATTGTAAATATGTCTAATAGATTATCTAACTGTTGAAAGGGGGCAATTGATTTTGACAAGCATATTTTAAAATATTTGATAAATAAATAAATAAAACAAAATAAATGAAAAATAAATAAATAAACGCCGGCACATATATTACCATTCATTCGACATATATACGATAAAAATGAAATTTAATTACAGCAAAATGACATATTACTTAATGTATATAAATAAATAAATGCTTATGTATGTAACGATGAACTGAATATGATCTCAAATTATATGCGTTCAGTTCTATTCTAACAAATGAACGGGAAAGATATAAATGAAATAATCTTTACTTGATTTTCTTCACTTATTAGTGAATGTAAACCGATACATATAAATGTCGGTAAAGAACTGTAAACGACAAATTTCAGAATATATTCTTTTTGCGGTCTTATTTACTTTTACGGTTCAGTGTCATTTTGGAGACAGAATATCAACAGTTATTAGCTACCGATTAAATTGATATTGTTAATATGAAAACATGTACTATATGATATAATTAGACATTAAAATAACTCACCTGATATGCACTGTACCATGTATAAAACCATGAACGATTTATATGCAACTTTATTCATTCTACCGAAGAAGTATAAAACTTTTTTTCACCCGGAAGAAATATCATCAAAATAATTTCGGTGTTAACAACCGCCAATTTTATACACCGACACGCTCGTAAATCATTAAAAGTAAAGATTTTCTCTTGTTTATTCACTATTTATAAAAACAAACGTATTCAAAAGCGTCAATATCATGTTTCTAAACTTGCTAATTGATCTTTAAAACCAGCGTAACAAAAGAGAAAAGTCGAAAACGGAAAAATTACCATACATGGATCATCAATTACGTACATGTTATATTTACTAAAAGTATGTATTTTTCTTTTTTAATGCAATGATTTTGAATAAAGAAATAATTTTTTAAATTGGATAGAGATATTGATTTTATTTAAATCGGGGGAATATTGGTTTAATTTGCATTTCAATTCTGAATCATTTAAGTATATGATCGCATTAGTTGAAATACAGGGGAAACAAGTAGGTTACTTTATAATCATGATTGATTTCCCTTTCCTTCACATTCACTCTAAATTAGTCTGAGGGAGGAGTTGTTAGTGATGCAATACACTATACATTTTATACACAGAAATAGAGGAGTGTTATGTTATGATTATATAAAATAATGATTTTATTTATTATTACTGTCTTCGTGTAATGTTCTCACGAGTGTGCTTGTGTGCGTGTGAGTGTATATTCCTATCGTTATGGACACAAATGTGTGTTTTCAACCCTCGGTGCTAACACATTTTGCGCTTTGGACACCTGAACACAGTGTCTGAAAAGATAACACACATAGAAAAGTAAAAAAAAAGGTTATCTTCCCTTTAAATCAGGAACTACTACCAGTGAAACACACACGTTGGTAATATTTTCATAAATAAATATTAAGATTAACAAGTTTTACACTTGACACACTAAAATCCATGCACTAATTTGACACCAAAGTAAAGAAGAGGCAATTTCAACGGTACTTACCAGTAACTGCTGATATTATTTTCCCGTTAATCGTTTGATAAGCCCCATTTGACTCCTTATTGATTTTTTGCTTAAATAATTTTCATTGATGAATACTGTACCTGAATGTGTTTAACATTCTTTATATATTTATAACTTTTGTAGTTTATATTTTAGGTAATCTATTTAAGCAGTCTTTATAAACAGTTGTCCAACAAAGTTTGTAATGATATACAATGACTTAATAAAAAATTCTTTGTAATTTTATTAAATAGAAACTTTCCTTTAAATACCTGGGTATTGCTTTCAAAAGTGATCGTTACAGGAAAAAAAGTTTCCAATTACAAACTAAAATTGTGTGAATGTAATGTAATCTATAAATCATTTATTATCTTTATATCAATATCTTCATGATTGTTTTGTATATATATTATTCATTACGTATTTAAATGTCAAACTGTGTCGTCGGACGGTTATAATCCTTAAAGCTGTATGCCTCCAGATGTGCCAGAAAATTTCAAGAAAATCAAACACTAGGAAAACAAACTGTGCTTTAAAGAAAAGTAAAGAGATACAAGATAAAAAATAATGTTTCCCATGTTATATGCGATTAATGGCTGATTTTGCAGTATTTGTATTTACATTTCTACTGCTTGAGTACCGCTGTAAGGGCTATTTTTACTTATTTTGGCCTCGTGTTTGGTAATTTACATAGGTGGAAAGTGCCATTTGCAATATGTAATTTTGTTTGTTAACTTCAGAATATCTTTCTTTATATATTCATTTTAATTTTATTATTATTATTATTGTTATTATTATTATTATTATTATTATTATTATTATTACTATTATTGTTATTATTATTATTAAGAAGGGATTTGTTTAATAGATACTCGTAATAAGGCGTACATAAGATATGATGTATTCACGTAGAAAGCATCATCCCGCTTCTTACACATATACACATGTAAAATTATAAAGTAATATAACGATGAGGCAAGTTTTCAAGCTTTCAATATGTATTTCTAACCAGTTTCTTTTGACGGTCATTCTGTGGTGTAAGCCTTCTTCCCCATATTGCACGGATATTACTAAAAGAAAATAAAACAGTTGTCGATAATTATATGATATATAATAGATCATTATTAAAGTATATTTTTTAATTGGGCTAAATGGTCATGAAACAACATATTTAAATCAGTAATTGTTTCTACAGTTTATTTTCTCGATATTTTATCTTTATCCAGACGAGCTCGTATAACTTCATCACTTTGCTTATATTTAGTGCGATTTTTCTATGTTTAATTTCTCGCTCATGGCTTTCTTCCTTTCATATATGTATACATATATGTATACTGTATACATATATTATGAAAGAGATTTAATGATATTTATTTCCTTTACTACAATGTTGGAGTTTGATTCATTTTCTGTAATTCTACGTACTAGAAACATCAGGAATCAATTCAGAGTTGATTTAAAAGGGAAGAACTCTTACAGAAGTTACCATTGTTAAAAACGAAATGGAAACGATAAGCAAATTTTAAAGGTATAAACAATAGATATAATGTAAATACAATACATGTAGTAATTTCATCAGATATTTCTCTTATGCCTTTAGATACAAGTCATCAAACATCAAAGTTAATACACTTTTTTATTAAGGGATGCTTTATTGAGAACAAAATAAAATGTTTACATAAGAAATTATAAGAGGTCAAAAGCTTTAATGTCAACAGCTTTGGCTGTCTATTTTTGTTGATATTATTGATTTTAAAAGAAAATTTATAAATCATCTTGGCTTTAACATGGCACATGACCATATCAAATGATAATCTTAAACGTCACAGTCATACGGGATTCCTAACACTCACTTTAACAAATCGCGAATAAATTCTAATATCACAAGTACAATGGATTCATGAATAAGTCACCAATGTAGTGCAAATTATTTGGCAAGAAGTGCTTGAAGTAAAGATTATAATTACAAAGTGAAACGAAAGTCTAATAATATTAACTCTAGACTCCCTATATGAACGAGTTTAGTATGTTTGATTTATAAATCAAATAAATATATTAAATAATTAGAGTTATACATTACGCGTAAGTGACAGTTGTCTCTAAAAATAGAAGATCGGGAAACGGATCGACCGCTTTACGAATTATTAAGATATAGAAATGACCGTTAGATTAAAGATGTCAATGTAATCTATGGTCGTAAATTTTAAATTTTATTTTCGCTCTTCATTTCTTTCGGTTTGGCGAATACATAAAAGGATTTATCTAAAAAAAAAACATATTTAACCTTAAGAAACACTTGGGCCGCTATAAGTAATATCTGCATTATAAGAGAATTCAATAAAACAATAAAACATACTTAATATGGTTATTACAGTTTATCTGTGAATATATCTCGACGTTTACAACTTTTAAATTTATAATCGTTTCTAAGTTAAACTTTAAGTTGCTAATATGCCAAAAAGGCCAAATGTATTTTTTTAATTAACACTTTTCAAAGAATAAATGACTTGCTGATTTGTAATGTTTTAACCTTTAATCTTTGGTTTTATATGTAATCCATATGTATCTTTCATCGTTTATTATGTATCATTACTTCAATATATGAAGCATCCTACAGAATTTATCCAAACCGGATCTTAATATTAGATATCATGGTATTTATTCAATAACCCAAAGTTTCCTTTAAGCTTTATTTACTCTACTTAATTATCCATCATGAGTATAAAACTAGGTAATTTACCAGCAGTGATATAAGGTGCTTCCTCAATTATTCCCCGACTCATGCTATGTTAATCATGTAATAAAAATATCCATTTTCTTTTGAGATGCAATTATTCAGAGCGCATAAGCCTTTCAGAATATTTTATTTCTTGTAAGCTTTTTTCTTATTTCCTGACAGTTTAACTACCCTTCAGAAGTACATCTGATATAGAGATAAACTACGGAAATACCACGATCATCATTCTTTTCATATACCCTTTTTTCAACGTACAAACTGTATCATATTCAATCATTTTTTTACGTAAATAAATATATTCTTCTCAATAGTTTGGTAACGCTCTAACGTTTTGTAACTTAAATATATTTTCAAACAATTGAGTGAATACTACATGTATAACAAATAGAGATACGAATAGTGAATTTCTAATGTATCATTTGCCTTGCATAATTGACTTTATGTACGAATATTATGGAATTTAATGTGACAAAAGGAATATTCTTTTAGCACGCACGCTTTAAAATAATACAGATGAAGTTATATTTATTTATTAATTTATCTATTCGACTTCACACACTAACGAGTTAAACCTCACCAACCTATATTGAAAAATTCCAATATATATATGAGAACATTTTGGTGTTTTATAGCGTATACCTATGCCTATTAAATCATACTTACTGCTATGATAATATGATGGCATTCATGATTTTGTAACGGTGTAAGTCCCGCATTATTTTCTATTTTTAAACGTCTACACCTCATTACATAAGGATATACTGACCGATTTCTTCAGGTATCGTTGAATTTGACTGGGAACTCCTGTAATTTCAACATCTTAATGGTTTCTTTATACCAGTATCAATATGAAACTACTGCTTAATGGTTCTGTTACATTACTTTTATCATATCTACCATAACAATTATGATTATGTGAGACATAAAGATATAAACGTTTAACATTGAAGATTTTTTGTTACAAGCTTTCATTTAGATCTATTTACGAGATAGGTTCTGATGACGCTAGAGTGATGATTAATATTATTTCCAGAAAAGACAAATTCATTTTTTTAGCAAGCAAAAGAAACAATTATCGTCACGTTTGAAACAATATAATAAGCATATCATCTCAATTTACAATTGTTAGTATCTGTATTACTTAATATCTCATTTCTCCCTTTAAATGCAATATATGCATACATAACTAAAACATGATAAACAAGATCGACAAGAAAAGGCGGCGTTCAACATTTTCAGAGCGAGAGCACATTGGAACATTAAATTTATGAATGTTAGGATTATTAAAGATTTTTGTTGTCAACATATCTTTCTCTTACCAAAGTCAAGTTTTTTACAAAAAAAAAAGATACATATTATGAGCGATTAATGGTGATCTTACATTATGTGTAACTATATTTCTACTGCGTTACTAACACAGTAAGGGCACTTTTTGCATATTTTGACCTATTTTTGTAATAAACATTGGTTGTAAGT